CTGACTTACTGAATGACTTATTGAATGACTTATCAAGTGACTTATTGAATGACTTACTGAATGACTTACCGAGTGACTTACCGAGTGACTTACCGAGTGACTTACCGAGTGACTTACCGAGTGACTTACCGAGTGACTTACCGAGTGACTTACCGAGTGACTTACCGAGTGACTTACCGAGTGACTTACCGAGTGACTTACCGAGTGACTTACCGAGTGACTTACCGAGTGACTTACCGAGTGACTTACCGAGTGACTTACCGAGTGACTTACCGAGTGACTTACCGAGTGACTTACCGAGTGACTTACGAGTGACTTACCGAGTGACTTACCGAGTGACTTACCGAGTGACTTACCGAGTGACTTACCGAGTGACTTACCGAGTGACTTACCGAGTGACTTACCGAGTGACTTACCGAGTGACTTACCGAGTGACTTACCGAGTGACTTACCGAGTGACTTACCGAGTGACTTACCGAGTGACTTACCGAGTGACTTACCGAGTGACTTACCGAGTGACTTACCGAGTGACTTACCGAGTGACTTACCGAGTGACTTACCGAGTGACTTACCGAGTGACTTACCGAGTGACTTACCGAGTGACTTGACTGAATGAATGAATGACTTACTGAGTGACTTTCATGACTTAATGAATGACTGACTGAATGACTTGGACACTCCAGTACAACCATCAACTTCAGTACCAGAACATCTACCATCACCTCAGACCAGTAGGGCCACAACATAACTCTCCACTCTCTCCACAATCATCCACAAACACCAGCACCCACAATTTAACCCTTTCGGGGTTTCGGCCGTACTAGTATAGCTTACGCGCCAGGGTTTTTGACGTACTAGTACACAAATTCTAGCGCCCTCAAATCTAGCAAGAGAAAGCTGGTAGGCCTACATATGAAAGAATGGGTCTATGTGGTCAGTGTGCACAGTATAAAAAAAATCCTGCAGCACACAGTGCGTAATGAGAAAAAAAAAACTTGGACCGTGTTTTTTGTTTAAAACAGCGACTTTGCACTGTATTTTCGTATGGTATTTATGGTTGTATTCCAGTTTTCCTGGTCTTATTTTATAGAATGGAAGACATATTACAGAAATTGAGGTGCTTTTGATTGGTTTCACAATGAAAAGTTCCTTGAAATTGAGCTCAAAGTAGCAGAAATGTTCGATTTTTGCCAAAGTTCAAAAGTAAGCAAATCATGCCACGCGTCCAATACACGTCAACTGGTGAGTCTAATATTCTTTCACAAGTGCGCTGATATTATTTATACCATTTCTACACTAATGCAGTAGTCTGCATAACGGTAAATCTTCCATTTTTTGTGAGAATAAAAATTCAAAGTGGAAAGCAAAAGAAATGTAAGAAGGGCCTGGGGACGTGACTAATGAACAGAGGAAATGTTATTTTAGTGCTAGGAATGTTTCTTGTTTATTCTGGACCCTATTTGGAAATTTGCATCTTTTCAAATTTGTGTGAAATTGGCAAAATTGCTATATTCTGACCACTTTATTGGATAGTTGAAATCGGTAAATGGGTGGTTTCTTGTACTCATTCGATAGAAAAAATGAAGTTCTAGCGAAATAGTTATGATTTTTGTCAACTAGTACACTGGAATTGGCTGAAAATAGGGCTCAAAGCGGGCAAAATCGCCGATGCGTAAACATCGTCGAGACCGCTAACTTCGCAAGAGCATAATTCCGTAAGTTTTCCATCGAATTTCATACTTTTGGTGTCATTATGATCGGGAAAAGATTCTCTATCTTTTCGTAAGATTTTTTTTTTTTTTTTTTTAAATTTTGGCAACCCTGAGAACAAGTTTCTGAGAGGGCCTGGTGACCCTCAAAGGGTTAAGGTAAGAAATTCTATTATTTCTGTTGCATTTGTAGTCTTAAGCAGTAAAAACAACATAATACATCACAACAATGAACTACAACTACATATTCAGTTTTATTTTTGTAAGATGTAGAGGCCTAAAAAAAGTTGTTTGGCTTTTTGGAGGCTCCCAGGAATGTAATTTTATTTTTCCCATAAGTTCTTCAGTTCATCTAACATTTTACCTAATATGGCATTTTCAGGAATGTAACTACTGTGTTAAATGACAGTCTATTGTACTATGCTGGTATTGCCTGGCTAAATCCACAACCCTCACACCTTGCTTATGTTTACTTATGATTTCATGCTTTAATTCCATGAATATCATCCTCTTTTTCTTCGCAGCACTGTCCTTTGCATTTACAGTGGACCCCTGGTTTGCAATATTAATCCGTTCCTGAGAGCTCATCGTAAACCAAAATTATCGAAAAGCGAATCAATTTTTCCCATGAGAAATAATGGAACTCAAATTAATCCGTGCAAGACACCCAAAAGTATGAAAAAAAAATCTTTTACCACATGAAATATTAAATTTGATGCAATAGAATAATTACAATAACAATAGAATATGTAACAAAAAAATAATTGACACCTTTAATGAAGATCTGGTGATGATTGATGGGATGGGAGGAGAGGAGTGTGTGGATGGTGTTAGCATTTAGAAGGGGAATCCCCCTCCATTAGGACTTGAGGTAGCAAGTCCTTTTCCGGGGTTACTTCCCTTCTTCTTTTAATGCCACTAGGACCAGGTTGAGAGTCACTGGACTTGTGTCGCACAACATATCTGTCCATAGAGGCCTGTACCTCTCGTACCTTTATGACGTTCCTAAAGTGGTTCACAATGGTGTCATTGTACAAGTTGCCAACACGGCTTGCAGTAGCTGTGTCTGGGTGATTTTCATCAAAAAAGGTTTGCACTTCATGCCACTTTGCACACATTTCCTTAATTTCAATAGTCATTAGCACCCTTGGTCTCGATGGGTTGGCACTAGAAGCTTTCTTGGGGCCCATGGAGACTTATTTTGCAGAAACAAGCACCAAAAACAGTGATAATATGGATAATATAGAATGTACCGAATGTATCCTTAGATACGCGCACACTGGCTGGCTTGTAAACACTGGACACGTCTCGTACAAATCGTATCGCATACCGGGTTTTGTATCGGGAAGTGAGGCAAATTTTTTTCAATGAAATGCATCGGCTACTGGATTTATCGGATACCGATAGCATCGGGAACTGGGGGTCCACTGTATTTTCTTTGATCCCATGGTCAGAAAAAAGAAATTTGGCCAAATGATTGTAAAAGATGTAAGCAGAGCATGAGAGAAATAATTCCACAAGGAGGCAAACACATGCACTGCTTACCGGATGTTTTGGCATTCGCTGCACCAACTAGTGGCAACATTTTGAAGTTCTTCCTAATTATTATTATTGTTAGGAATTATGCATTAATATTATTAATTTAGGGAACTGAAGTTTGCTCATTATTATTATTATTATTACAGTATTATTATTGTTTATTATTATTATTAATTTTGGCAACTGAAGCTCACTCGTTATTATAATAATTATTCTTTCTTTCTTTCAACACACCGGCCGTATCCCACCGAGGTGAGGTGGCCCAAAAGGAAAAACGAAAGTTTCTCCTTTAAAATTTAGTAATATATACAGGAGAAGGGGTTACCAGCCCCTTGCTCCCTGCATTTCAGTCGCCTCTTACGACACGCATAGCTTACGGAGGAAGAATTCTGTTGCACTTCCCCATGGAGATAAGAGGAAATAAACAAGAACAAGAACTAGAAAGAAAATAGCAGAGAACCCAGAGGGGTGTGTATATATATATATATATATATACAGTGGACCCTCGCATAACGTTGGCATCACATAACGTTAAATTCGCATAACAATACTTTTAATGCTAACATTTTCCCTCGGATAACGTTAAAAAACTCACTTAACGATATTCGTTCTCGGGTACCAATTAATATCGTTATGTGAGGGTCCACTGTATATGCTTGTATGTGTAGTGTGACCTAAGTGTAAGTAGAAGTAGCAAAACGTACCTGAAATCTTGCATGTTTACGAGACAGACAAAAGACGCCAGCAATCCTACCATCATGTAAAACGATTACAGGCTTTCGTTTCACACTCACTTGGCAGAACGGTAGTACCTCCCTGGGCGGTTGCTGTCTACCAACCTACTACCTAGGATAATAATAATTATTATTATTAATTTATTGTACTGGAGCAAAGATCCTATTTCCTAGATCAAGAGCCCCTCACCAGCATTAAGGAACATTGATGCTAGTGAAAGGCTCTTGATCTAGGAAATTGGATATGTGCTCCAGTTCAGTAAATTAATAATAAGGGGAGCTTCAGGACACCACCACTAGTTGGTGCAGCACACTGTTTACCTCACTGTGGAAACATTTTTCTCGTGCTTTGCTTACATTTTTTACAGTCATTTGGCCAAATTTCTTTATTCTAACCATGGATCCTAAGAAAGTATGTGCAAAGGACAGTGCTGAGAAGAAAAAGAGGATGATTTCCATAGAATTAGAGCATGAAATCATAGATAAACAATCGTGGTGTGCAGGTTGTGGGAGAAGCTCGCAAGTAACTCGGATGATGGCAGTTCGTATCTCTAAAAATTCGTATGTTGGGACACACTTAAGTCGAAGTTCCACTGTATTGAACAACTATGGTGACATCACACATCCTTGTCTAAAGGCGTACTTTTACCGGAAAATAATCTCCCACTCTCCTACATACTCTAACCTGTGCCTCGCTATCCTCATGAAAACTTTACACTGCTTTCAGTAACCTACCTCCTATTCCATACATTTGCAACATCTGACACACTGCCTCCCTATCCACCCTGTCATATGCCTTTTCCAAATCCATAAATGCCACAAAAAGCTCTTTACCCTTATCTAAATACTGTTCACCTAATGTTAACATTCAAATTCAATTTCATGTGTTTCTAATCTGGAGTAAGGTCTTTCAGCACAATGCTAAGTACTCAGTTATAATATTCCTTTATTCTTGCATATCTTGCTGCACATTAGAGGAAAGATTTTATTAATTGAGAAATGCTTTGATTTTTTACAGGCAGCTTGCAGATGTAACGAAAGATGGGGCACTGTCATTAGAGGAATTCTTTACAGCTATGCACTTAGTAGTTTTACGAAGAAACAACATTGAGCTGCCTGAAACGCTCCCACCATCTCTTTTTCCAGCTTTACAGGTAAGATTTTTTATATATATTTATTAAACATATCTCCAGGAAGCACCCTGGCTCAACAGGCACAAACCAGGGAACTAATGAGGCTTTATGAAAAGTACTCATTGAACCAACAGATAATTGATCCGACTAGAAATGAAAATACTCTGGATTTGATATTGACAAACAACGAGGAACTAGTCGGAGACATAACAGTTGCAAAAAAATTTACTCTGATCACAACATCATAGAAGTTCAAATGAGTACATTAACTCAGGGTTAGGGAACTGCATGTTAGAGATGGGATATTCAGTAAGTTTAATTTTAACAACCTTTGAATTGACTGGGAAAAAAATAAACCAAGAGCTATCAGACATATCCTGGGAATCAGACATGAGCACTCTAAATCCCCACCAGTGCCTAGATAAACTGAATAAAGAAGCATTCAAGGTAGGTATGCAGCATGTACCATTGAGTAAACCCAGAAGATCAGATATAGAGAAAGAGCGTAGGAGATGGTACAGAGGAAGAAAACGGGTTACAGAATTGCTGAAAAACACAAATATACTGCAACAGATGAAAAATAATCTTAGCTGAGAGATCACTGAATTAGAGCAAAAACTTAGGATGTCATATCTCACAGAAGAAGTACAAAGGGAACAAAGGGCCATACAGGATATTGCAAGAAACCCAAAATACTTCTATTCCTATGCAAAATCCAAGCTAAGAACTACCTGTAGAATTGGACCATTATTGAGGGGAGATTTGTATACTGATGATGAACAGGGAATGAGTGAATTCCTAAAAGAACAGGATGAGTTGGTGTTCAGTAACCCACTAAATGATGACAAGGTAGAAAAGGCAGAAACATTTTTCATTCCAGCAGAAGGCTGCGCAGATCAGCTAACTGACATAACTACAAATCCCCTAGATTTCGAAAAAGACATGGATGACATGCACACTCAGCACCTGGACCAGATTCATGGAATGTACTATAAAGAAGTGCTAAGTACCATTAGCACAAGCCCTCGGTATTCTTCAGAGAAAAAGCTTAGATCTAGGTGAAATACCAGTCTCCTTAAAGAGTACAGACATAGCTCCTTTGCATAAGGGAGGTAGAAGAGCACTAGCTAAAAATTGCAGACCAGTAGCCCTAACTTTTCACATAAAAATCTTTGAAAGAGTGATGAAACGCCAGATTACAAATTTTATGGACCAACACAACCAGCATAACCCGAACCAGCATGGTTTTAGAACAGGACGATCATGCCTGGCACAGCTGCTGAACCATTATGACAGAATTAGTCATTGGAAGACGACCAAAACACAGATGTGATTTACAGATTTTTGCAAAGGTGTTTGACAACTGTGAGCATGGAGTGATAGCACACAAAATGAGGGCCATGGGCATTAAGGGTAAGGTAGGCAGATGGATTTTCATGTTCCTAACACACACACAAAAGCAGGTGGGGATATAGTTTTGGAGTGGTTGGTGCAATTATTTAATAAATGTATGGAAGAGGGTAAGGTACCTAGGGATTGGCAGAGAGCATGCATAGTTCCTTTGTATAAAGGCAAAGGGGATAAAAGAGAGTGCAAAAATTATAGGGGGATAAGTCTGTTGAGTGTACCTGGTAAGGTGTATGGTAGAGTTATAATTGAAAGAATTAAGAGTAAGACGGAGAATAGGATAGCAGATGAACAAGGAGGCTTTAGGAAAGGTAGGGGGTGTGTGGACCAGGTGTTTACAGTGAAACATATAAGTGAACAGTATTTAGATAAGGCTAAAGAGGTCTTTGTGGCATTTATGGATTTGGAAAAGGCGTATGACAGGGTGGTAGGGGGGCAATGTGGCAGATGTTGCAAGTGTATGGTGTAGGAGGTAGGTTACTGAAAGCAGTGAAGAGTTTTTACGAGGATAGTGAGGCTCAAGTTAGAGTATGTAGGAAAGAGGGAAATTTTTTACCAGTAAAGGTAGGCCTTAGACAAGGATGTGTGATGTCACCGTGGTTGTTTAATATATTTATAGATGGGGTTGTAAGAGAAGTAAATGCGAGGGTCTTGGCAAGAGGCGTGGAGTTAAAAGATAAAGAATCACACACAAAATGGGAGTTGTCACAGCTGCTCTTTGCTGATGACACTGTGCTCTTGGGAGATTCTGAAGAGAAGTTGCAGAGATTGGTGGATGAATTTGGTAGGGTGTGCAAAAGAAGAAAATTAAAGGTGAATACAGGAAAGAGTAAGGTTATGAGGATAACAAAAAGATTAGGTGATGAAAGATTGAATATCAGATTGGAGGGAGAGAGTATGGAGGAGGTGAACGTATTCAGATATTTGGGAGTGGACGTGTCAGCGGATGGGTCTATGAAAGATGAGGTGAATCATAGAATTGATGAGGGAAAAAGAGTGAGTGGTGCACTTAGGAGTCTGTGGAGACAAAGAACTTTGTCCTTGGAGGCAAAGAGGGGAATGTATGAGAGTATAGTTTTACCAACGCTCTTATATGGGTGTGAAGCGTGGGTGATGAATGTTGCAGCGAGGAGAAGGCTGGAGGCAGTGGAGATGTCATGTCTGAGGGCAATGTGTGGTGTGAATAAATGCAGAGAATTCGTAGTTTGGAAGTTAGGAGGAGGTGCGGGATTACCAAAAACTGTTGTCCAGAGGGCTGAGGAAGGGTTGTTGAGGTGGTTCGGACATGTAGAGAGAATGGAGCGAACAGAATGACTTCAAGAGTGTATCAGTCTGTAGTGGAAGGAAGGCGGGGTAGGGGTCGGCCTAGGAAGGGTTGGAGGGAGGGGGTAAAGGAGGTTTTGTGTGCGAGGGGCTTGGACTTCCAGCAGGCATGCGTGAGCGTGTTTGATAGGAGTGAATGGAGACAAATGGTTTTTAATACTTGACGTGTTGTTGGAGAGTGAGCAAAGTAACATTTATGAAGGGATTCAGGGAAACCGGCAGGCCGGACTTGAGTCCTGGAGATGGGAAGTACAGTGCCTGCACTCTGAAGGAGGGGTGTTAATGTTGCAGTTTAAAAACTGTAGTGTAAAGCACCCTTCTGGCAAGACAGTGATGGAGTGAATGATGGTGAAAGTTTTTCTTTTTCGGGCCACCCTGCCTTGGTGGGAATCGGCCAGTGTGATAAAAAAAAAAAAAAAAAAAAAAAAAAAACACACAACACAAAAAGTACAGTGGACCCTTATTTTTCGTAATTAATCTGTTCCAGAGAGTGTGACTATTATCGAAATTGATGATTTGCGAATCCATTTTCCCCATAAGAAATAATGTAAATCCAATTAATTCATTCCAGACACCCAGAAGTATCAACAAAAAATTTTTTTTACCTTGAAGATAGATTTACATGCACAAAAGAATGAACATTCAACATGACAGTTACCTTTATTGAAGGCTGTTGCTGATGAATGGAAGACAGGGAAGAGGAGAGAGGGAAGAGAAGTTAGTGTTTGTAAGGGGAATCCCCCTCCATAAGGACTCTAGGTCACTTCAGGGGTCACTTCCCTAGCCACTTCCCTAGCTTAAATATAGATTTACATTCAGAAAAGAAGGCCAAATAAATGTAAAGCACTAATAAAATGTATAAATGAACATTTAATATCACACTTACCTTTATTGAAGACTCTTGTTGGTGTATGGCAAACGGGGCAGAGGGAGGGGTGAGTTTATTGTTGGAGAATATGACACTAATATCAACTCTTCTGTTTATTTATCTATCATAATTCAACTAATATGACATAACAAACAATGTTAATAACATAGAAACGTGGAATATACTCTAGAATGAATAAAATGAGCCATTATGTATGTCACGAGAGGTATTGTGTTTAGTTGTTGTTGGGTGTATAAGGGCCACTGTGAGAATAAGCCGTCCATAATGGTGGTGAAGCAGCAGCTGAGGTGGCAGTGTTTTCTGTAACCTTATATAACTCCAACAACATTGGAGGAGTTAGTAGAATCGCTGAATCACTGAAGAAGGCACCCTCTACTGCTATCACTACCACCCTCTACCACCATCACTACCACCCTCTACCACCATCACTACCACCCTCTACCACCATCACTACCACCCTCTACCACCATCACTACCACCCTCTACCACCATCACTACCACCATCACTACCACCCTCTACCACCATCACTACCACCCTCTACCACCATCACTACCACCCTCTACCACCATCACTACCACCCTCTACCACCATCACTACCCCCATCACTACCCCCATCACTACCCCCATCACTACCCCCATCACTACCACCCTCTACCACCACCACTACCACCCTCTACCACCCTCTACCACCCTCTACCACCACCACTACCACTCTCTACCATCACCACTACCACCCTCTACCACCACCACTACCACCCTCTACCACCACCACTACCACCCTCTACCACCACCACTACCACCCTCTACCACCACCACTATCACCCTCTACCACCATCACTACCACCCTCTACCACCATCTCTACCACCATCTCTACCACCATCACTGCCACCCTCTACCACCATCACTGCCACCCTCTACCACTCTACCACCACCACTTTCGTATTTTTCTACAAACTCTTTCTTAAATTATATGTATTTCTCACATTCTTTACAAAAGGACTGGCACTAGAAGCTTTCTTTGGAGCCATAGTGACTTATTTAGCAATTGCAAGCACTAAAACGAATGGAATATTGTGAAATGTATCGTATGAACTTGTGAGATCATCCTCACTGATAAACAATGGCACACTGTTTGGGAATGGAGTGTGGGGCTGCTCGGGGCCATGTGTACGTGTCCCAGACAAACGACTATTTGCGAGTCAAATGACAATTCGCGAGTCAGTGCTTTGACGAAAGAAACGTTACGATTTCCGAAAATTACGACTTTCGAGCCTTATGATTATCGAGGGTCCACTGTACTAGCAAACAGAGCAAGATCCAGCATCAGCGGGGTAAAAACCTCAGTGCCCCAAGGCACTGTCTTGGCACCTCTCCTGTTTCTCAACCTTATAGCAAACATA